TAGCTCTTGAGAGACATTAACCTGCAAGATGAAGCACTCACAACTGACAGCAAACCACCAAAAAGAACCACTCCAACCAGAGCATTTCCAGGCACCAGGCCACACTAGTGATGAGAAATCAAGAGCAGGAAACTAAATTATTTATTTTTAAAAATAAGCTAAAAAAGGAAATTTTCATTACACATTGTTTTAAGAAACATAGGAATGACAACTGGGAAATAAAGGAAGCATCTAGAGTCTCTGAGAAGAGAACTTGAATCAATACAGTCCTTTAGGGCCAATTGAGATGAAAGCACAGTATGCAATGTGTACATCCACACCCCAAGGATACACAGAGGTATCCCCCAGGTGCTCACTTGGCCATTTCTGTGACCCATTATCTTGGGCAGGGATGGCAAAGTCGTGTCTCTAAGGAAACCAAGGTGGGTTCTGGGGAATACCCTGGAAAATGGAAACACACCTTCACCAAACACAACAGAGCTGCAGCCCCTGGCACTGCAAACCCCTCCTGCCAGCCTGCAGCACAACCTGCAGGGAATGCACACTGCAGAGGGTGAGAAAACCCCTGGAATAAACACCAACACCCCCAAACCAGCTCTGAAGTGTATATAAACTGCCATCTTCTCGCTAATAAAGGGAGAACATCGCATTAACCATATTGGTTGGATGTGTGCTCTGTCCTGTCCAGTTTCCCATTATCTGAGGTCCCTGGTCACAGGGCTCTGGCACAGCCACCCGTGTGCCAAGGACAGCCCTCCGTGGCACAAGAGAGCCCTGTAAAAACACAAAAGGCACCATGTCACAGCAGCCACCACCCAGAGCCCTGCACAGGCACTGCACAGCACTTTTGGGGGGCAGGCAGGACACAAAGCCACGGGGATCCTCTCCCAGCTCCATTTACTCTGGCAGAAGGTGCAGCTCTGCCTCTGGCAAGCAGCAGCACATTAAGAGACAGCACCAGGCAGCAGAAGTTTGCTGAGCCTGCTGCATCACTGAGACATCCATCCAACACTGCCTGCAGTCCCCTGGAGCTGCCCATTACATGTGTTAGTCCATAAAAGACTTGAATGGTGTGCAAATACATCTCCCTCATCCAGAGGGAAATGCCAGAGGTCACGGATGTCAGATGAAGTTTGTTCAGACAAGGCAGATGGGGAGCACAGAAGGAATTTGATGTGCACTTCAAAGGGAAGAAATTTGTCCAGCCTGGGAGGCAGTTCTGTGTCTCACTTGGTAATGAGTTTCTTTTGAAGAAATACTGTTACACAGAGGTCTGTTTCACCAAAAGGCTGTTCTATGGCTTTCTCTATTAATAAAAATACCAGGAAAAGTTCCCTGCAAAACATCAGCACAGTTTTAGCCAGGAGATGAGTGGTCCATCTAGTCTTTGTAAGGGGCTCACCTGCTGCTGCCAGGCCAAAATAAGGGTGAATTTAATCACCTAAAATACATCAGGACTAATTTATACAAAAATATGTTACTATTAACGAGCAATCCATTTGCATGGTGAGAGCTGAATTATTCTCATTGCTCTAACTTGTTCTGTTTGCATCCAAGGATGTGACAAAATGCCAAGTTAGAAAACTTTGTTACTCCTCTCAAAGTCAAGACTTTCCGAGTGCCCATGTATTGGCAAAGAGATTTATGGTTCCTATTACCCAATCGATGCTGCAAGAGCACACGGGAAGGGATGAAATGCAGAGCCCCGTGATAACCAAGAGCTCAACCACTGCTTAACTTTTCATGTGTCCCTGCGTCAGTTTTCTTATCTGTACAAGCAAGGAAACAAAGTTCATCTCCCCTGCAAAAGCACTTGGAGATATTTTGATAAACTGCGTTATTCAAACCCAGCATTTTCCAAGGTCAGCCCTCTCTGCGCAGCTAAGGCACGCTTAAATAAAGTGATCTTCAACTTCTCGGGGTTTAAAAACATCACTGGAGCTCCTGCTGCAGCCTGCATTTCCTTGGTGGGCTTTCGGCAGCTCATTAGCAGGGAGCAGGAGCCCCCCAATCCCCCGGAGCTGAGGATGGAGCCCCCCAATCCCCCGGGGCTGCCCAAGCAGCCCCCCACCCCAAACCCCAGCCAGAGGGCACCGCACAGCCTGGGAAGCACAAATAAATGGAGCTGTAAGCAGCCAAACCTCAATTAGCAGCACGTGTTAACTTGTCTGTTACACTTTAATCAGAGAGGAATTGCACCTGTGGTCGGTCAGGTGCTTGTGGCAAGGAGAACAAGATAAAAGAGCTGCAGACTGCTCTGAGAATGAATGGTTCAAAAGTGAGAAGCACAGAAATAAGTGTTTGGGCTCCCCATTTTGAGTGGCAGACTGCTCTGTGATGTGGCACCTCATACTGACAAAACCCAAAATCTTCATACCCAGTGTCTCAATTTCCTGAGCACTTCAGGGCAGGCACTGCCATGCCACATCAGATTGCTCCTGTCCATCCATCTGGTCTAAATGCCCTGCAGAACACTGATAGCCCACTGCTTCACCAGTAACAAATAAGCTGCAGGTGTCCTAATAAAGCCAAGCACCTGCTTGCATTATAAGCACTTTTTAAATGTGGCTGTTTGCCATGAACACACCTGAACAAAGCCCTGCCAGGACATGGTTTGATCTCACCTGCCCAGCCAACCCCACCTCAGTGTGCAGGCACCAATCTGGACTTGTCCAGCCTTAGAACGTTGTCACTTTACTCCATTTAGGGGGATATTGACTTTTTGTACTTCACTCTCTGCAAATCAATATTTTAATAGACACCAAAGAGACTGGCAGAAGGATGCAGAGTACCTGCCCACCAACCTGATGGAGATGATGATCCATAAGTAAAGGTCAAACCAAAGGAAAAGTTCAACCTGACATGAAAAGAAGAGCAGCACATAGAGAAGAGTCCTTAAACAAGGGAATTTTTAAAAAGAGTATCCAAGATTAACTACAGGAGGAAGGAGACACAGCCTAAAGCAGACACAGATAAGGCAGTTAAAACAGCCAGGGAATGACAGACCAAGGTCCCTTTGGGATGTGTGTGCTCAATGCCACGATTTTAGAAACCCTTCAGGAGGCATCTCCAGTATATCACACAGGTAATGTGCTGTCTTTTAATGTAAAATAGCAACTTTCAATATCTGAATAGGCTATTCAGAACAAAGTCAGCCAGAAACCATGTGCAATTCAAAATAAAACACTTGAAAGGGATTACCTTATTCTTTCAGAGATTGGTTCCACAGGAAACTAGGAAGCCAAAGGGAGCCTCCAAAGAGCCTCCTCTAGCAAAAGGCTCCTGATCACTCTATTAAAAATCCAAAGCAGCATAGAGAGGGATCACAAAAGTGATTTATGAGAAAAAAAGCATTGTTTATATGGGGGAAAGCCTTAATACATATAATGTAACAAAAGGGATTTGCAGCCTCATTACAGAGACTGCAAAACAAATTCCAGGTGTTTCAGATCAGCATCACAAAGTTCACCCTCAATTCACTCTTCCAGCTCCATTTTAAGCTGTCCCTACAGCAATTTTGCATAACAAATGAAAAGGAACTTTCATCCATTTTTCACCCACCCTGGACCTCTCAGCACTTAAACCCATTAATAATGCAGCACAACAGAGCTCTGGGTGAGATAAGGGGGAGGAAAACACTGGATTTTCCATGACCTTTTGCAGATTCCCAAACCCCTCTCCGGTACATACAGGCAAACAGAGGAATGACTTGTTACTTCAGGCATCTCAAAATGGTAGGGAATTCCATCTGTCACTAAGGATCAGCAGCCAAATTAGTGTCTTGAGCTAAAGGTCAGCTTGGTAATAACAGAAAGCCCTAAGCTGAAGCACATTTTAACATCACCACTCACTCAGCATTTCAGCATCTCTCCTACAGCTGATCTGCCTTCCCCAGGCTGTGAAGGGCCCCGGGTGAGAGCAGCCACCCAAGGAGGCAGGGCTGTGGGGGACAAACCCAGAGCCACAGGCTGTGCTCAGACCCCTCCACCATGGACAGTCTGACCAGCAATAAAGCACAAATAGCACAACTTTTAGATAGGCCAGACACTGGGAAGCACAGACCTCCAGAAGTACCTCTTGCATACCTCCCCTTCTCTTACAGCCCCAGTGCAAAAATAATCCTTTCAATTACCCAACAAACAACACCCTCATTACCTTCACATCAACTCTCTATCCCCATTATCCCCCATAAACACAGATTTCATTGTCTAAACTCACCAGCAACTCTCCTGCTGCTGCTCAGCTCCTTTTTCCAGACAGGAGGAAGGAAACAAGAGGCAACAACTTGCCATTTCTTTAACGTTGCAGAAAGAGGGATCAGAAAAACCAGGGAAAAGCAGCCACAAGTAACACCTTCCTGAAGGAGCACAGAACACACTCCAACAACTTCTGACCCCCAGCTCTGTGGAGGGCTTATTTATGGGTGTGCTAATTGAGTTCCAAATGGAAACACATGGCTTATGCAAAGGAAAAAAGCAGGTGAAGTGTCGTAACAGCTTCATCAACCTCAAACCCCAAACACCTGAGCTGGGGTAAATACAAAAGCTCATGGAACTCCCAGCATGGCACCGCAGGCTGGGCAGTTTCCAGCTGAGAAACAGATCCTGTGAGATGCTTTAGAAGAATGTCACACATTGCACAGGCAGGACTTCCCTGAGCCAGCTTTAGATGACAGTTGGGAATAAATTCCTGTTTGGGAGGGTGGGCAGGCCTGGCACAGAGCAGCTGTGGCTGTCCCTGGATCCCTGGCAGTGCCCAAGGCCAGGCTGGACAGGGCTGGAGCACCAGGGACAGTGGGAGGTGTCCCTGCCATGGCAGGGGTGGCACTGGGTGGGATTTAAGGTCCCTTCCAACCCAAACCTGTGTGTGATCCCAAGCCACAACTTGTTTCCATGGATTTGTGTCTCCCATCATGCAGAACACGGATTTGGCTGGATTATGTCCTGCCAAAACCACAACCCCCAGCTGTTAGAAACAGGAACACGCTCTGGGTACTAAAGTGATTTCAGCATTTATATTTAATAATTTAATAATATTTATTACAATAAAGCCTAAAGCAGGGGGGCCGTGGGTGGAGCGGGAGTGTTCCCATCGAGGATGCTGCAGCACCAATGTTCTTCCTTTCCTGAGCAGTGATGTCCCCGATGTTCCAGGTGGAGCAGCACGGATTCACCGGGTCAGATGTGTTGCCCTGATTTTTAAAAGTGTTAGGTTTCCTTTTATAGTTCTTTTGAAAGTTTTAAAGTTCTTTTAAAATTTTTCTATGCCTTCCGATGTTTACATATTTCTACTGGAGTTCTCACACATGTTCAAGTAAATAATGATTGGTTTGCATTCTTCTTTGTAAGAGGAGAGAATTGCTGGGCTGTTGGTTTGACCAGTGTGGTTGGAGAGGTGGAAATTCCATCCTCCAATCCACTGTCACTTTTGGAATTCTTTATATTATGAGGTCAGAAATAAAATTTTCTCTTTTTCTCTTTTGAACTTACCAAGCTTCTATGTACTCATTTTGTGTCCAATAGCGACACAGATGCCCCCTTTTTATCCTGTTTTTTGTTCCTTTGGATTGGTTTCTCTTGGGATCCTTCCTTTGCATGAAGGTTTAAGGTGTTTGATTGACCCATTACATTTCTGTCCAGGTTTGCTTGGGGGGTGGTGCACTTTAGGTAGGTTGAGTACTGTATTTTGTATAACTACCCTTTTAACCCCTTTACAGTACAATAACCAAACTTTTTAGCAGTACACGCTCAATAATTATTAACTATTTTACAACAGTTTCTAACCTATTTTTGGCAACGGCCATGGCTGTTCCTATCCCCAGGACAGGAGCGTGTGGCACTGCCTCCCCTGGATAAGGGCTCGGGATCCCATTCACTCATCAGACACATTAACTTGTTTTTAAAAAAAAAAAAGGCAAACCCAAACACCTTGAAAATGAGCAGGGCTTGAGAGGCAGGTGAGGAATTAACACAGCTCCGTGGTTTGCCATTAACGCTGACCACGGGGACGAGGCGACAGCGCGGTTCGAGCCGCGGGCTCGGGCAGGGAGGGAGCGGAGCCGGCGGCAGCGCCTCTGCCCGTGCCCAGCCGCGCCCCGGGGCCGGGATGGGACGGGGCCGCGGTGGAACAGGAGCGGGGCTGGGATGGGACCGGGCCGGGGTGGAACGGGAGCGGGGCCGGGGCAGGAGCGGGGCAGGAGCGGGGCCGCTGTGGAACAGGAGCGGGGCTAGGATGGGACCAGGCAAGGGTGGAACGGGAGTGGGACCGGAGCAGGACCGGGGCCGCTGTGGAACAGGAGCGGGGCTGGGATGGGACCGGGCCGGTGTGGAACGAGAGCGGGACCGGGGTAGAACGGGAGCAGGGCCGGGAGCGGGGCAGGACCGGGTCGGTGTGGAACGGCTGAGGGAGCGGGGCCGGGCCGGTGTGGGACGGGAGCGGGGCAGGACCGGGCCGGTGTGGGACCGGAGCGGGGCAGGACCGGGCCGGTGTGGGACGGGAGCGGGGCCGGAACGGGACCGGGAGCGGGACAGGACCGGGCCGGTGTGGGACGGGAGCGAGACCGGAATGGGACCGGGAGCGGGGCCGGGGCTCCCTCGCAGCGCCCGCCCCGCTGAGGGTGGACCCGTGCAGCACGGCACCGCCCTCCCGCGGAGCTGTCAGTCACCGCCTCGCCCAATCAGCGCGCGGCGCCGGCCCGGCGCAGCCAATGGGCGCAGCGCTTTGGCGGTGGGGGCGGGGCGCGGGCATGGCGGAGCTGAGCGGCGGCAGCGAGGCCGTGGCCGTGGCGCTGTGGCCGCCCGGGGAGGCCCCGCCGGCCTTCCAGGTACCGGGGAACGGAGGGGCGGAGAGCGGGGCAGGGACAGCGGCCTGGGCAGGGAGAGCTTCCTCTGCAGGGACACCCTCCTGTGCAGGGACAGCTTCCTGTGCAGGGACACCCTTCATTGCAGGGAGAGCTTCCTGTGCAGGGACACCTCCCTTTGCAGGGAGAGCTTCCTGTGCAGGGACACCTCCTGTGCAGGGACACTTCCCTTTGCAGGGACACCTCCTCTGCAGGGACACCTCCCTGTGCAGGGACACCCTTCATTGCAGGGTCGCCTCCCTCTGCAGGGACACCTCCTCTGCAGGGACACCCTTCATTGCAGGGACACCTCCCTGTGCAGGGACACCCTTCACTGCAGGGACACCTCCTCTACAGGGACACCCTTCATTGCAGGGACACCCTTCATTGCAGGGACAGCGTCCTGTGCAGGGACATCCTCCTCTGCAGGGACACCTCCTCTGCAGGGACACCTCCTCTGCAGGGACACCCTTCATTGCAGGGACACCCTTCATTGCAGGGACACCCTTCACTGCAATGACACCACAGCCACCGCTTCTCTGGGCAGCCTGTGCCGTGGCCTCCCCATCTTCACAGGGAAGAATTTACCCCTCTAATATCTAACCTAAATCTGCTGTCTTTTAGTTTGTATCTGTTCCTGCTTGTCCTGTCACTCCACGACACCCAGGAATTTGTTTCAGTGGTATTAGAGAGTCTATACAAACCAGACTGGAGAAGCTTCTAATAGGCCTTGAGGAAAAATTAAGCTGTGAGCCCTGTAGACCCAAATCTCCCTGAAATGTGTGGTGTGTTCGTATTTTACCGAAATGGTGGTTGAGGAACATCAAACTTGGTTTTGAGTAAAGCCAAGTGACTGAGAAGCTGATGCTTATTAAAAAAAGAAACTTGCAAATTTACTGTCATGTTTCACAACACCCCGAACTGCCGGGTACAATGTAATATTTAGTTTAGTTTAGTACATTTAGTGAACTGTAATATTTAGTGATAGCACATCCTCCAGGCTTCTAAATAAAGCTGAATGCTGAGAAGGAACTGGAAATACACCTGTGGCTGTCCTTTTACCTTGGTTTCCAAATGCAGCAGTTTCTATCAGGTTTTGTTTTGCAGCACTGTGTGGTTCTATAACCATTCACCTGCTGGGGGCATCAGTGTCATTTTGAGGATATGATTTTCTACCGGAATTAGGAGGAAGGGTGAACACAACAAGTTGGAGAGATACATTGAGTATCTTCATTTTTGACATAATTGTGTATTTGAAATTCTGTGGCTTGAAGACCTATAGATTAATCTTAGAAGTCACTTATTGAGCATTTTGAAGTGTGGGGAGAATTACTTTAACAATACCCTTACATCCATAAATAAATATCTTTAGTATCGCTATAAATGAAAGTGGTACATAGAGTCTAATGAGCTGATTTTTCTTCTGCTGAGGATTTTTTGTGGCCAGGGGGCTGTTTTGAGAATAATTAGATTATCAGTTGGGTCTGTATGGAATATCTGATTCATATTCTTTTAAACATTTCAGACAAGTTTGACTTGGAAGTTTACAGAAAAGCAAAGCGTTCATGATGTTTGTTCTGGGATCAGCTATTTACAGACACAAACTTTTTTAACATTCTGATTTCTGGTCTATATGGAATATTTGATTTGTATTCTTTTAAACATTTCAGACAAGTTTGAGTTGGAAGTTTACAGAAAAGCAAAGCGTTCATGATGTTTGTTCTGGGATCAGCTATTTACAGACACAACTTTTTAAACATTTTAAACATTCTGGTTTGAAGCAGTGCTGCTGCCAAGGCTCTGACTGCTGTTCTCTCTGCAGTACAGCCCCGAGAGCGTGGCCGGAGCAGACGGAGAGCTCGACCCCACTGAAGTCACCTTCCCGGGCTGCTCCTGCCGCAGCAGCTCCTGCGAGGCTCCCGCGTGCCCGTGCCTGAGCCGCGGGCACAGCTACAGCAGCCTGCGCCTCCGGCTGGCAGAGCAGCAGCAGCAGCCCTTCTCCAGGCCCGTGTTTGAGTGCAACAGCCTGTGCTGCTGCGGGGAGGGCTGCCAGAACAGGCTGGTGCAGCGGGGGCTGCGGCTGCGGCTGCAGGTGTTCCGCACGCAGAGGAAGGGCTGGGGCGTGCGCGCGCTGGAGCCCGTCCCCGCCGGCAGCTTCGTCTGCGAGTATGCCGGGGAGGTGCTGGGCTTTGCCGAGGCCCAGAGGAGAATCCAGGCCCAGAGCCCACAGCAGCCAAACTACATCATAGCGGTGAGGGAGCACCTGCACGACGGGCGGGTCATGGAGACCTTCGTGGATCCCACCCGCGTCGGGAACGTGGGCAGGTTCCTGAACCACTCCTGCGAGCCCAACCTCTTCATGGTGCCGGTGAGAGTTGACTCCATGGTGCCCAAGCTGGCACTTTTTGCAGCTGCTGATATTTCTGCTGGAGAGGAGCTTTCATATGATTACTCTGGAAGATTCCGTAATTCACCAGGAGCCAGCAGAGAACACAAACCTCTGGAGGAAGAGAACAGCCTGAGGAAACCTTGCTACTGTGGTTCCCGCACGTGTGCTTCCTTCTTACCTTGGGACAGCTCCCTCTTTTCCACACCAGCCAGTTCTCCACAGACTTTCAGCCTTAAACACACATAAAAATACTGATTTCCCTAGCAGTTAAACTCATTCTGTTCCAACAAGGAAGCACATGTGGCTTTGAGGAGCAGCACAGAGACATGGTTTCAAGAACTAACATCATGGAAAAACCTTTTGAAGGTGGATAGTACAAGGGATTATTGGAGCTTCAAGATGTTCCAATCTTGCAAATCAGTGACTAAGCCAGGCCTGGTGTTTTTGTCTGGTTTTCCTCTGACAGCTTGCTGTATGTTAAAGCAGCTCTCTGTTTGTACCCTTCAGAAAGAATTGGTACCTTCGGCACTTGTACCTGGACAGGACATGATAACAGCAGGAAAGTCACTGACAGTGGCACAAGAAAATAACACCACGAACCATGACTCTTGCAAGAAAAGCATTAGGTTCTTAAAATCCATTAAATTATTGTTTTTAAATTACTTGCTCTAATTTTGTTTTGTTCCACAAATCATAGTAGCTACTAATTATTGATGTAAAAGGAAAGAGTAGCTTTAATACTTGGTGTGTCCCATGTAGCTGCATGCCCAAAGCAGCTGTGACTGACTGGCTGCTTCACTCCCATTTAGCTTTGCTGAAGTGGTGCAGAACAGCAGTCTCTGAGGATTACAGCATCCCATCTTTTTTAATCACCTCAGCCTGGAGGCTGCTCCCATCAGAGCTCTGCAATCACAACCAGCAGCACATCTGTTACTGCCCAGCACTCAGTACACGCTCAGGAAGCAAATGCAGCCCCTGCAGCACGAAGCAGGATGATGCTGACAGCCTGCTGAAAGTAGAAATACAGAAGTACATCCGAACAACAACATTTGTGTTGTGTGCTGAACAGCTGACAGATACACGAGGGTCCTTTGCTGCTAACTGATGCATGTTTTCACTACTCCAGGGCCAGGCCTGGCCTTTCCCAGCACAGGGACAAGGTCATTCCATCTTTGCATCATCCCTGTCTGTCTCTGACAGCTGTGCAGGGCTTTGCTGAGCACCTCCTTCCCCCAGGGATGCACTGCCACATGGCACATTCTGTAACTGCACGTCCCTTCACTTCCTTTCTGCAAAGATCAAGTCAAGGTAGCTTCACATAGGCTGGTTTTGATATTTAAGATGGATAAACTGCAATTCAGTTTTTAATCCATGTCACACTGTGCCATCGGCAGCACAAACCCTCAATTATTTGCTCTGGACAGTTGGATCTTTACCTGTTTCCACACCCTTTGACAGAACACACACAAGGGAGTACATCTCATGGGGATCAGCTGTTCTGCAGGTGATCAGTAACTTCATTTTTAAATTACAGACAACTTTGATTTGAACCTGAAAGATTGATGCCACTGAAGGACTGAGCTGTCACTCCCAACTGAGTGTGCTCTTTCACAAGGAATCCAGGCAAACAGCAAAAACTGGGAGCTCTCTGTAATCCTGTCCACTCTCAAAGAGCAGTAATGATTACCAATATTTCAATATTCATTGGGAGATTTACTTTCCTACTGAAATATGATCAGAATATGCACGGATGCAGCTTTTAATGAAGGTCCCCGGCTCTGGGGAGAAGGGTTGGAACAAGATGAGCTTTTTAAGGTCCCTTCCAACCCAAACAACTCTGATTAACCTGATACTGGCCAGGGATAAAGGACATTTTGCTATTTACTAAACAAAATCCTACTTACGTTTGCTTCCTTGATACCAAGCAGTGTTAACCTCTCCCATTAAAGTGCCTTCCTGCTGCTGTTGGGGTTTAGACACAGCTGTGGGTTTATGTTAAGATAAACATTTCCATGTGATTTCTCTTTGGGTTAATCATTAAATGTCATTTCTGTCAGAGCAGAAACCTTCCAAAGGATTTCAGCTGCTTGTCAGAAGTAGTTTCGAGGCTGAGTGGACATTAACTTCAGTCCTTGCCTCTTCAGGTTCCTGCTGTTAGAGGAGGGAAACTCCCAGGATCCTGTACCTTAGAATGCACAGAATTCCAGGGCACAGCCTGGACTGCAAGGTCTCTTGGGTAGAAAGGAGTTTTATCTGGTTTTCTCCCTGAAAAGGCATCACACCAGCCACTTTCAGACCACAGGGCTGGGAGCAGATTATCTAATCCACTTCCTCTTTCCCTCCTTAGAAAAATTTCCAGATGAGCGTTACAGCATCTGCACTCCTCATTTTCAGGATGACAGCACGGTTTGTTACCTTCCTGTTATGAGAATGAACTTGGCATGATCTTGAGTAGTTAAGGAAGTGCAAATTTAAAAAAATCCAGCCACCTTTCACAGTATCTGGTCCTTGATCACAGCCCCACAGCAGGAGCACAGCTGAGCCCTCTGTCCCTGCACCCCAAGCCCTCAGCCCAGGCCAGTGCTGCAGTTCCTGGGACTGACCTGATCCCAGTTACCTGCTCAGAGCAAACTCCCCAGTTCAGCACAGAGCAACAGTGTTGGACTGCTCAAAACAGCCACACTGACGGCCTTGCAAAAACAAAATAATTGTTAATGGAGTTTTAAACCATCCTGACAGTTATTAGTGGCCTTTTTCCATACAGCACTATACTCAACCATGCCTTGGCACTGCAGCTGCCTGGGGGAGTGGACCAAAATCCTACTAAAAAAAAATCCCTTATTTCTTTCCTAGTCAAGAAACTGGGAAAGAAATATCGACTGTTGTATCTGCTGAACTTCTGTTCACTTTCTCCTTCAGACTCCTTTCAGCTTCTGAGCCCCAGTCTGTCCCTCACAGCTCAGTGTGCTCTTCCAGAATTAATCCACTCAAACAGCTCAAAAGGCTCTGAGCTCCCTTTCATCCTCCCTCCTCCCTCCTCCTCTGAGTGCAATAATGATTATCAATATCTCAATATTGTGCCACATCATGCTGTGTCCTGGGATAGATTTTCCTGCTTGCTGGGCTTACCTGGACCCCACAGGAGGCTGGTGTGTGGTGAAGGCCTGCCCAGGCATTGTCCTGTGTCAGCTTTTCAACATGAAAGTGCTGCAGGAGCTGCCAGGTGATGGATCTGCAATAAACTCAAACCCAAATTATCTACAGCACAGACAACACTGGCAAGGACCAGCATCAGTGCCAAGGCTTTTGTGAATCCACCGTTACATGCAGATCCTAAAATGAGGTTGCTTTCAATTGTTCCTATTTCCCTTCTCACTTGTTAAAATTCCTCTCCTTTTCAGTGAGGAATTTTATTTTCAACAAAACAGTTTAGAAATTTACCCTGTTGGGTCTTAGGGCTCACAGTTCCATCTACCATCACTTCTATAACTTTTATTCAACTGGAATCATTCATTAGCTTCAGTTTCTTATGAGGCCAGTATTGTATTTTCCAAGTCCCTAAGATAAGCCTACACTGCATCCAAGAAATTCAAAGGAAATTCTGTTTTTCCATCAATAAAAGTCTTTGGCATAAACAAATGCTTCATATTTTATTCAAATATGTACAAGATTTCTAATCATCATCACCCTGAGGATCATCACCCTCAGCTGCAGAAGGCACTTCCTAAAGAGCAGCAAATATCTGCCCAGGAGAAGCCCATTTCTGGACATGATTTTCACTGCAAGTGGAATGTAACAAAAGGCAAGCTGCCTGTGGGGAGAGCTGTCATCTCCCAGCCCTCGTTCCTGACTCCTTCATTGTATCTCAAAGCTGCCTACAATTTCCTAATTGCCTAGAATTTCTTTTAAAGCTGCCTAGAAGTTTATAAAGTCTTTGATTATTGCATTTGAGTGTAGAAGCTCTACATAAATAAAAGTAATTAATAAAGATCTTGTCTAAAGAGGAGCTGATGTAGTTCACAAGGCAGTGATCAGTTAAAGGGTTAAACTCAATAACTCTGGAGGTTTTTTCCAGCCTAATTCTGGGATTAGGTAATCTTTGAAAACATGATTGGCATGTTTCTGCTCAGTTTTGTTCCAGTTGAATCCAAAACACCCTGGTCAGGCTTCAAATCCAGGCCAGACTCGTGAACACAAAGGTTCTCCAAAAGCGCTGTTGGGTCGTGCTGGTTTTCCTTCCCTCAGCAGCAACTCCAAGCAAGGTTTTTCCATTGTGTGCCACCAGCAAGGGCCACTGCTGATATGTTTGTTCTCCGTGGGGTGGGATGCAGCCCTCCTGTGCCCGAGGAAGGCGCTGGCAGCGTGGGCAGCGTGCTCAGCGGGGCCCCGGGGCGCTGTCGGCGGCGCAGCGGAAGCCCAGGTTGGACGCGGAGCTGTCGGGGGTGTTCTGGCTCCGAGCTGCACAGCGGTACCTGTAGCAGTAGGACTGCACAGCAACACAGAAAAGGAACTTCTTAGCACAGCTGGGGCTCCTCAGGCAACAGCTTGTTAGATTAACAGATTAATTAGTTAGATTAATACAGCAAAATGTTGCCGTCGCTGTGGGACAAATCGATGAAGTGCTACGGATGGAAAGCGCTGCGTTAGAAATGAGGGAGTCCTACACAGACTGACACAAAAACTAGACTGAATGGCAAAGTGTCTGATAAAGTGTCAGCCAAGAATCTCTCCTGCTCTGGGAAAAAGCCAAAACAACCATTCAGCCTCCCCTCAGAGGCTGAGCTGTGTATCCCTGTGCTAATGCCCCACTGGAATGGACAGGTACAGGCACCTGCCTGGAAACACTTCCCTGAATGAGGTGCCACTTTTGGGATGGGATGTAAAAAGGTGCAACTTCAGGCTCTGTCAGCTCTGAGAGGGAGAAGAGCACCAGCACACAAAGACCAGCCTGAGCAGACATCAGGCACCTAATAAAGAGCCCTTGTACTAACAGTAGTCACTGATTTTGTCTTGATACACAGCCTAGTTTTATCACCTACAAAAAAAGACTAGGGCAGACTAGAATCTTCACAAACCTTCAAAACGGGTCATTCATCACTGAAGAGCCTATTCCAGTGTTAATTTAATCAAAACTGCTAATTAACATCTGACATTGATTTCACCTAAGAAGGAAATCAGTGTAGAAAATGGGATCTCACTGTAGAAAATTTAATCTAATTATGAGAGCGATTTGCCAGCCACAGGCTTTGCAAGAGAAGAACAGGACAGCTTTAATGAAAGAGGAGATGTACAATGAGGGTTTTCAGCACTGCATGAGCAGAGTTTAAAACACCATTTTGTGTCATGAACAGCCATCATTCTGTAGTGACATGCTGGCAGTTCTGAAGGATTTTCAGGTATGCCACCAACTCAGCTGAAACACTTCATCTCCCAGCCAGCTCTGCAAACACCTGATATCATTGAACCATGGAATTAGAAAGGATTTGGGATTGAAGGGCCCTTAAAGCTCAGCCAGTCCCAACTCCCTGCCCTGGGCAGGAACACCTTTCCCTAGGCCAGATTACTCAGAGCTCCATCTCCTTTCTGGATCAAAAGCCATTCTTAAAAAACAAAGTCACATCCATACTTTCTACTCTTGACAAATATCACTCAAGCTCTATCATGAAACACCATTAGAAGCCTACATCAATTTTAAGTTCTGCATCTAAAACCCATACTGATCACAAAAACTTACTTGTTTCAATTCCAAGCTAAGCAAAAAGAGATCCTTAGGAACATCAGGTGTTGCTCTCCATAAATCCCCTGAAAGCCCTTGACAGGCTGCCAGGAAACTGTGTCAGAGGATCATGGTCAAGTGCTTTCAGAGGGAAGAGGAGCATGAGAAGAGCACAGTACCTTATGGCACATGTAGGATCCACCCTTCTTCACTCTGTCCGTGCCTGAGGACGGCCCTTTCTGGGGAGAGGAGGACACTGGTCAGTACTCAGGGAATAACTGCTGATTTCAGGGAGTAAGGAGATGGAGAAGGAGCAATCATAAATATTCCAGACACAGATGTCAGTGGTGTCTGAACCAGACAGCTTGAAATACTTCTGCCCTACAGGATTTGCAGGTGACAGTAACTGTGCTCCCTCCCCACTGCTGCAAATATTTAATATCCCAGGTGCTGCCCGCTGATAATGCCTGGGTACAGGGAGGTTCCTAAAGAGGATTTTACCAGGAAGGAAATGAGCTCCAGCTTTCCTCAAGTGACCACCCTGTGACCAGTCTGGTCACACCTGCCACAGATCCCACCCCCCTACCCTTCTCAAGGGGTACACTGGTCTCCCACCCAGCTCTGCATTACCAGGGGTGATGTTCTAGAAGAATCTACCCCAGAAGAGCATTTGTAACTGAACATAAATCCCAGGGGCTGTCAGAAAACCTTGAGAGTCGATGTTGTTACTCTAGAAGGTCCTGCCTGCACTCCCTGACTTTGAGAGCTTTGTGTGAAAGTTCACCACACAAATTGCAGCAGCTTCATGTTTATTGCCAAAATTTATACCTGTGAAAAAGAATTTGGCATTTAATGGCACAAAAATACTCAAGGAAAGCCACACCCTGAGGCAGCATCTGCTCTTTCCAAGCCTGGGTGTGCCTCCACAGGCCCCTGGAAATTATCCCCACAACACCTGCACAGTTCCTGCTCTGAGATAAGCCTCCAACCAGCACAGTCATCAACCAGCCTGGTAATCTCATTTTAAAGGAAGCCAGGAGAAAACCGACCTAAAAAAAGTTCCACGGGAACAAGACAAAGCAGAACAATGGGGCTGTGGAGCAGGATTTCCCCTAAATGCTGCAGGGCTGAGCAGCAATCTGTGCAACTGGCTCCAAAGACACTTCTATAAACGAAGAGGAACATTTTTGGTTAGGATTAGAAAGCCCTAAATCTGTCATGGGTCAGTAATTACAAAGGTCTGACCTGTACTGAGCAGTGTGTGAACCAAAGGCTCATAACTGCATCTTTTTATTAACTGCAAAGATCTTCCACCAGGCAAAAATCAAGCATCAAAGGTTATTTGGTAACAAAAAAAACCAACTTTAACTGACCCCCACAGCCTCTGAAGGAGGATTACAGCCCCGAAACACTTCACCACATGGAGAATTCTGCTGTAGTGTCCTCCATAAATCTGTTCAATTATAAAACATCATTCTCCTGTTTAAAATCAGTGAAGGTAAAGAGTTTATCATAAAACAATTGACAAAGATGTCAGAAAATCACAAAACCAACAGACATCATCAGCATTTCAGTGTTAATGTTTGCTTGCACACATATCTCACTTTTAGATGAAGGAAACTGCCTTGGCTGTGTTTCCCTTCATAAAAGCTAATCACAGCCCAGCAATTAAGGTCACATTTGATTAAAACAAGCAAATCTCTGTTCTATCAGCACCATTGTTTTATGGCCTGACCTGGAGAAGTGCACCAGCTGGTACTGAAGGGGAAGGACATCGGTGCAAAGGGCCAGAGCTGTCCAGACCTTGATCCCAGATTTAAACCCCAGAGTTTACTGTAAATTAACAAGGTTATTCTGTACTAGAATACTGCAACAGCCATACTCCAGTCTGATTACATAAGTGCTTGTGCATTCCATTGCCAAAGCTCATAAAAGTAGGATTGTTCCTTTAAAAGTTGCTAAAAAAAACTCAGCTTTTTTTTGTTAATGAAAATAAAGTTGTATTTCTTTCATGACATCAAACAAATGCTTTCTGATGGTGCATGGTGATCTTCAGTGCAGAGTAACATGGTTACTCTGTTTTGAGAGAAATCAGTTTTCAAACAGAGAACTGCAGCTCATACAAAAAAAAAAAAAAACAACAGAGCCAGAAGTCACCACAAAATAACCCCTAAAGGGCCTGTGGGTTGATCGACCTCACACACACACTTGGCTCTCTCTGCTAAAGGATCAGTGACATTTTTAGGGAGGAAATTGTTTCCTGGGAGGGTGGGCAGCCCTGGCACAGGGGTGGCTGGGGCTGCCCCTGGATCCCTGGCAGTGCCCAAGGCCAGGCTGGACACTGGGGCTGAAGCTCCTGGGACAGTGGGAGGTGTCCCTGCCATGGCAGGGTGGCACTGGGTGGGATTTAACCCAAACCATTCCAGGATTCTGGCACTGCAGTGAGGCACCTTCATTGTAATTATTTATTTGAGACATTCTGGTGTTGATGATGCCAAGGCTGGATCACTTCCCTGCTGGATTAAGGCGATGGTGGGAAACAACTATCCTGTCAATTTTGCTCTCTCCAACCCCAAGAGTTTGCTGAAGTTTTAAGCCCAGACACTTCAGGAAGTATTTAAAAACTAGGTGTTGACAATTAGGCTTTTAGGGGTTTTTCATATGCAAACCGATTGTCAGAATTCAGTGTCGAGGCAGAGCACTTCAAAGTGAATTCCAAAGGGTTTTTCTGGTTAAATGGGTAAGGAAACTGCATCTCCTCCTGTGAAAAGGTGTCCCAAAATAGCCAGGCTGCAGTTATCTTCAGAGACATTAGAACTGATTAGCACCAGATCTATCAGAGCCCAGCTCTTCAGTCTCTGCAGAGCACAAGGCAGTGTAACCTAAATATAGGATGTGTTCTCTGGGCTGAAAAGACTCTGAATTCTTCCAGAGGGTCAGGAAGAATATGTTAAGTTTTTTAACATATTTAGTTTAACACCCAAAATCTTCAAAGCAGCTTTCTAGCACTGAAGAGATCTGGGCTATGCTGGGGATTGGTTACAAGGAATGGATGGAATTCTGCACGCAGATTGTTGGAGGGGTTCCATAAGTGATTGTCTTGCCCTCACAAGTAATTACCAGGAGTAAAAATAAACCTGAAAGTGATTTGTAAGTTGTTAGCAAATAAAAACCACCGTATTTGGTGGGGGTTTGAGTGACAAACTCTACTTGTATTCATAAATCATGGGATTGACTCATCCTGGATAAGTGGGAGAGGAGCAGATCTAACACTGGAACTGGAATCTGCTGAGACAGAGCATCAGTGACCCCTCACATCTCACTCTGCAGGAACCTCCATCTGCCTGCCACAAAGGAAAACAAACATTCACCTCTCAGAGCCTGGTGACTTCTCCTAAAACTCAGTTTTATCATATGGTCAGTTTAAAACAAGCTACCAGAAGCCAGAAAGATAATTCATGATGGTTTGTTCTCAGCCTGGGAGGGGGAAAATAAGTACAGCTTGTAGCAACATAAATGAACTAAAATCCTTCCTTTTTGTAAAGAAGTCATTCCACAAATTCTTGATTTCTGTAGTATGAGGCCAGTTTGGAAGTATTCAATGGCTAACCATGTGTGGATAACTAACCAAACACAACAATTGCACCAGAGCACTGCAATTCCAGAGTGGATGAGCTGTGCTGTGATGCTCCCAAATCAGGGGCACAGAGCAGGAGGTTTTCCAGCAGCAAGGAGACCCTGGTGACAGAGGGGATTGTGCCCACGGTGCCAAGCAAACACTCACAGGGTTGTGAAGCTCCTGGGGGGAGTGGTGCACAGCCCACCAGTCCGACGTCCACTCCCAGGCATTCCCCACCATGTTGTAGAGGCCGTAAGCATTGGGGGGAAAGGCAGAGACCTGCACAAGACAGGGAACACAGCTCTGAAACCACACCAACAGCTTGGAACCCTCACACCAGCCTGCTCAAGCCCCAAAAATAGCACCAGATCAGCAGTGCAGCCCTGGGACACTTCTGCATCCTGCATGTAAATCAAACAGGACGGAAGGCTGTGTCACCTCTGTGTCCTCAGCACCCTGTTCCAGTGGGGCACAGCATTCCTGGCTGCTTTTGGAGACTGTTTGGCACTGTTTGACCAGCAGACACACCTGGCATTAGGGACTTGACCCCACTCACAGCTCCCAGATTCCCCTCCCACAAGGAAAAGCCAGGGTGGCTGCCAGCCCCTGCCTGTGCAGACTCCTCTTCTGATTAAACTTTTGGATTTACTTAGCTACCAATAAATAATTCATTCACATTCTTGATTGCCTTTAAAACTCCACTCTGGTTGTTATACTAGACAGACTCAGCCTTTCCTCAAAAGGGAAGTTTAATTTCTTTTAAATTATTGTGAGTTTTGAGTTCACAAAACTGTGAGGTCAGAAGTGCAGACAGAAAATACTTCAGCTTCTGACTACAAACTGACTGGGAAGGGGGAAAAGAGGTCAGCTTGAGAGGGACTAGAAGTTAAAATGAAAGTAATCTTTACTTTTCAATTAGCTTGTAAAAGAGTCCCTTGATAATGCTCGAGCCTGCAGTGAAATTTAATGCAACTTAAAATCTAAAATGAAAGTACAGGGATGGAAAACAGCCATTGTTCATCCTCCTGAAGACAGACCTTAATTTTAAGAAGATTAAAATAATTTCCACATGCTGGATTGTCTTTGAGCCACACTTACAGGTGCAGTCCCCTTGTACCCATCCTCTGCTGTGTTGTTGGTGGGGAATTCTCCCTGCCAGATATTGGCATAGTGTTGCCCTTTGGGCTGCAATTTGTTGCCCCATGGGAAAAGCCTGAGGAAAGACAAACAGAGTATCTGTCAAACATTGTTAATTAAAAGTCAGTTATACAGAACCCCAGAATGGTTTGGGTTGGGAGAGATCTTAAATCCCAGCCAGTGCCACCCCTGCCATGGCAGGGACACCATGGCAGGGACACCTTCCACCACCCCAGGGTGCTCCAACCTGGCCTTGGGCACTGCCAGGGATCCAGGGGCAGCCCCAGCTGCTCTGGGCACCTGTGCCAGGGCTGCCCACCCTTGCAATAAATACCTTTTTCCTAATACTCCATCTAAACCTCCCCTCCTTAAGTTTAAACCATTCCATGTGTCCTGTCATTCCACCCCTTGTCCCCAGTCCCCCTCCAGCTCTCCCTGGAGCTTCTCCTCTCCAGGTGAGCCCCCCCAGCTCTCCCAGCCTGGCTGCAGAGCAGTTCTGAGGGTAACAAATCCCTCCCAAGCCCTCCCTGAGTTCCCAGCCCCATCAGGGGCTCCCCTGGGACAGGTACCTGTTCTCCAGCCCCCCTCGGCAGCTGTACTCCCACTCAGCCTCCGTGGGTAACCTCTTCCCTGCCCACGTGCAGAAGGCCACGGCATCATTCCAGGACACATGAAGGACTGGATGGTCCATTCTGGGAACAAAATCAACAGCACAGGCTCCTCAGGGCACCAGGCAGCCCCAGGGCTGCACAGCACGATGTGACACCCCGACAGGGGCACACAGGAGTACAGCTGCACCAGGTGACTTCACAGGAAAGAAGTCACTTAAGGAAAGGCAGCAAAATGCTGGAAGGGAAATGCAGCCATCAGAGGGAAACAGGAGGAAAAAATAATTAGCTTCTGTTTGTCTCGTGTTGCTGCCACCTCCAGCTCTCCAGTTATTTCTGGTTTGTGGTTTCTCAAGTGCAGCACCCAGGAGGCAGCAGAGAACTGCCCACACCCTGCCCTGGGGGAATTTGGGTGCTTGCAGAGCCAAAGGAAAGCTGAGCACCTGCAGCATCACCACTGCCAACCCAGCCTGGCACAGGGCATCTGGCATCAATCCAGCCTGGCGAGGGCCATCTCAGCCAGAAGGCAGATTCTCAACAGGAACTGCACACTGCCATTTAGGGGTGACTGTTCTTCCCTCCCCTGAGGCCCCTCTCCTGCTCTGTCCCGTCCTTGCTGTCAGCTGTGCAGCTCTGAGGGAGAGGTGACATGAGGAAGAGTCTTACCAACTCTATCAGCTTGTGCAGCACCCTGTCCAGGAAACTGAACTGCAGGAATTTAGCTGGGAAGTGATTTTCCCTGGGTGCTTTAAGCAGTCCACAGTGTACAAGAGCTCCTTGTCTTTAATGGGGTTTGGTTCCAGGACTGACATTAAAATCTTTGTCTCTTTTTCCAGAAAAAAGACAGAAAAAAAATGCCCAGGCATTCTTGCAGAAGGATCCTCCCCATCCAAGCCTCCAATAGACCAAGATGCTCCCAGAGCTGAGGGTTCAGGAGAGGAAGGAACTTCCTCTAACTTCTCTTCCCTGCCCCATTTAAGAACCCAACGTTTCCCTGATAACCCATGGGGCCACTTCCCCGTGGCAGCTGTGCCAGGCCAGGTCTGCACCAGCCCAGAATTTCATGGCAGGTTTCCAGCTCCTGTCTGCTGGCTCTGACCTCAATTCCTGGCTCCCCCTAACAATGCCTCCAGCTATTATCTCTATTTTTGCCTCAGATAATTCTTTCCTTGCCCTTGGAGAGCAGATAACTCGTTACTGAGCACTTCAGCCATCAGATGATGGTGCACTAACAAAGTCCTGTCCTTAGAGGACTCAAAAACCTACTAGATCTAGGCTAGAGAGTCTGATTTGATTTCAAAATGCTGTTAGAAACTTTCACTAGCTGATAAAGTGCCAACTTCATTGACACCTGCCTAGTCAGAGCAGCAGTTGCAATGTTAGAGGTCCCAAATGAAGACAGTAATTTGATTTTCTAGGCCTAAAATTCATCCCTCTTCAAAATGGAAAGCAATTGTATGAAGACAAGGATCAGCAAGTTTCAAGGTTTGTGCAGGCAAAGCGTGGCACTAACTGTAAGAAAAAGCAGAGTTTTCAAAGCATTCAGAGCTTCTAGATAGTCACAACTGATTTTTCACAGAATACAGTAAAAAATGCACAAAACTCCTCAGCCTTCTGTTGCCAGAGAAAGAGACTTCCAAACCCCACGTGGAAGAACTCACACTACCCAGACTCCTGGAGCGTGCACACAGTGAGGATTGATTCCTCCTCTCCAAAGAGGGGACTAAATCAAAGCCCTTTCCTGCAGCCCCGTTCCTGGTGGGATGCCCAGGGATATTCCCTGGGTTTATGATGGAATGGCTCTCATGGCTCACCTGCTGGAGATGCTGGAGTCAGGGCCCTCAGGGTGCCTCCAGCTGGCTCCTTTCACAGGCAGCCACCAGGGAGCAGCTGCCACCTGAAAAAGGACAAGAGCAGCAGGGAAGGACACTTCAATTCCAGTTAAGGGAATTTCTGAAAAGCCACCAGATCCCTTCCAACCCAAACCAGTCTGTGCCTGTATGAACTCCACCTCCTGGTTGACTTCAGTCTGATACAAGCTGCAGAGAGGGGAAAAAAAAAATACCATTTTGGCCTAAAGAGCATTTTCACCCTACTGATTTGCTCCCTGGACTCAGTGTTTTGACACCACTGAAATAACCTCCTGATGATGCCCTTTAGCTGGGGGTCAAACACTCATCTTGCAACACATTTGCTTTCCAGGTCATTAACCCGCTCAGCTGATTTTAAATTATTTGCTCTCAGCTTCCAGAAGGTGGAGACAGAAGAACCACACAAGGGAAGTGAAGCATGAAGCCTCTCTCGTTTTTTTTGTCCCCCAGCTGGTTTGCTGGGAAACGTCACACAGCCAAAACCATCTGCAGCAATGCAGACACTGAGTAGTTCTCTCAAACCAGGAAGTCCCAAATTTGGTGCTTCAACGCCAAGAAGTTTTTCCTGGAAGACATTCTTGAAGCATTTCTTCTATGAGGCTTGCTTCAAAGCAATGCTTAACTGCTCTGATTCATACTCACTTAGAAATACTTATTTTAATAACGGGGCCTTCACTGAGGCAAAGAAAGGAACATTTATGCCACCCATCAACAGTGGGTTTATTCCAACAGCTTCCAAAATACTCCTATTAGAGAGATAATGTCTATAAAGAACAAAAATCAGAGGAAATGAGCCTGGAATGCTTTAGGAGGCAAAAAACCCAGAGACTGGTTAGTCCTAGAGTGACTTTGTCAAGTGTTATCTACAGAGGTAGGAAAGGTGCCAAGAGTGTTACCTTTAACTCACCAAAGCTTCAGAGCAAAGTTCAAAAAGTCACTGCAAGCTGGTGTTGAGGAGAACCAGAATCAGTCTGGCCAAACAATTTTAACAGCAGCTTTTAGGGTGAAGCTGCATCCTTCAACAGAACATGTAATTACACATGTGTGGGAGAAAAGATGATCTAAGTCACACAGAAATTGTCGAGAGAACTCTGGTCAACGCTATACATCAAATCACTGCCTTGGATATTTCATTAACCAGTGCCCAAACACATTGTCCTGGGTTTAGAGCCCCTCATCAGGCTGTGCTCTGACACTCCCTGACATTCTGTCCTCTGCTGTCCTCCTCACTGGGACCCCCCAGGCAATGACAGCTTCTACAGACCCTCTCTGCCCTCCCCAGCATGACAAGCACAATGCCAACAATGCCAGCCCCAGTTCTGGCTCGGTGTCTAGCAAAGGACATTCTCACCCCAAGCAGAGCCACCACCCTTGGCAAAAAGCATGAGAAATATCTGATCTCACAAGGAATTACAGCTCTGTTACTGAGCATTCAAACCCCAAAATGAGACCTTCCTGCAGATACTCTGCTCAACTCTCTCAGCACAAAAGCTTCAGAGTGACAGGGCTGCTAAACTGATACAACAGTCAAGAGGTTTAAAACTAGTCCCATTTAACCAATTCCTTGCCCATATTGAGGTTTGACCTTTAAACTGTACTGAAAATAGGACAGAAATCCAAAATTAGCATTTTACAGCTATTTAAGGAAAATAAAAGAGCAGCAGAACCACTTGCTAAAGCTAAAATCTGAAAGATCACAAGAAAGATTTCGACAGTTTCTAAGCACAACATATTTTTGTAAATTAAACTGCTGGGTTTTGGATAAAAACATCTCTGCAGGAGACTGCAAAGATTTACACTTTAGACGACTTTAATTTTGGAAAACATTTTTGTGATGCAAAAGAAAAAGCAGATGCTTTCAATCAGGCTGGTTTATTTTAACCCAAGAAAAATGTCTCTCCACAGGAAAGCACTACATGTGCACAGCTCCTGGCTGTGGCTCTGCTGAGCACCAAATGGCTGCCAGGCTCTGCAGAGCACCCAGAGCAGTCAAAATGCAGTGCTGGGACAGGGATAACACGGGGAGAGCACGGAGAGCCTGCAAGAATTACCTGGAGACTCACCTAAGGCAGCCCCTGGCTCTGCTGAACACACCCTGAGCTGCTCCTTCGAGAAATCTCCTACCTGAAATCTACAGTTCTCTCCCAAGTCTTTAAAGCTTTTAATTGTTCTAAATCTAATTAGCAGAAGAGCTAATTAGACAGAGATATTACAACATCACAGTTAATACAGCCAAGTCCTCCCTTGCCAGTAATGAGCTTAGTTACTTTCATAACACTTCACGTTCTGCTTCCCTCTGAAACATGTTCTGTGCCCTGGCAGCAGATTCCTGCTGTCCAAACTTGAATCAGAGGAGAATCCCCTTCCTTTTGGTTAATTCTTGCAGCATGTCACCTGTGCCAGGTTACCCACACCTGCAATCCTCACGCCCTCGTGCACAGGGAAACGCTTCCCAGAGCAAAGTGAGGCACAAAGGTTTGATTTGGTCTGATCCAGCTGGAAATGGGGATTATCCAGCTCTCCCCTCCAGGATTAAACCTTAACAACTCCCTGTTCTGCTCCTTACAGACCCAGGCAACTGTGAAAAGAGAGCCCAGTGTGCTAGCACTGGGAAGAGCTGGAACAATTAATTCCAGCCCACGAGCTCTGAGCTGGGGCGGAGCGATTTGCAGAGCTGGAGGCTGAACTCCCACCAACAGCCCGCAGAAAACTCTCCTCCAGGTATTCCATCCTCCTTTCCACCCAGCCTGGGACAGCCTAACTTTAATTGCTCCATTACCTCACAATGTCAAGATTTTTTAAACTACTTCACAATTACCTTGAAGAAAATTCCTTCCTAAATCAATGTAGAAAAATAAAATTAAAGTGAGTTTCATTGTCAGCATTACCCTGTTGCTGCAGCTGCAGTAGGGGAACACCCCTAAAAACCACCCCAAAGCCACTCAGCCCATAGCCATAAAAGCATTTATTAGTCTTGCACTAACGTGTCACAGGCCACGTTCAAGAAAAACAACCCTCAAATTCTAATCAGATTTATGTACCCGAAAAATTACTAAAAATAAACTCAGAGTAGCTCATCTTGGCTCATGCTCCTACATTTCCATCAAGTAGCAAGTCCCCTGAAATAGCAAAGCTGTGGATCTTAACCTTCAGGCAGGCCCACAAGATGATGACAAATTCATGCTGCTGTCCAGTCATACAGCACCAAACATCAGCTTTTTTTGTGCTACAGCATTCTAATGCTATTTTAATAAAACATTTTAAAAGCCTTACAGCAGATCAGGATAAACAGCTGGAAAAAAACCAAAAGTGAATGCAGAGTAAGAACTTCAGAATTAACTGTGTGAAAAGAGATTTTGAGTGAAAAGCAGCCCAAGTCTGGAAACCACTTTAAGAATCATTTATTAAGTGGTGGGTTCTTAAAAAAACACTCCAGAAGCTGACTTAATAGGTTACCACTTGATTCAATCAGATGGTGTTGAGCTCTGTACATCTTTAATATGCAAAAGGATCTTGCTAACATTGGTAGGACATAAGAAAAAAATTGTTATTCAGTAAAGAACATAATTTTTGGATGAGGTTTTATTTTATCCATGTAAGGCAGATACACATAAATCTGACTGTTCTTCCTCCTCTAAGCCAGATCCTAAACCTTGAGCACTGATTAATGAACTACTGAAGAGAGAGGCAGACAGAAAATGGAACATTTTCTGAAATTTTAAGAAATAAAAATGATTACTGTGCAATGGATCCACTTCATTGTTCCCACAGAGAACAAACCTGCTGTAATTAGGGACAAGGACCGAGCCAGGGCTGGGAAATCCTGCCCCACACAAACCCAAACTCACAGTTAGCAGAGGATTTGTCCAGCAGGCAGCTCACTCCTGCGTCAGGGGCTGGACTAGAGCATCTCCACAGGTCCCTTCCAAGCCCAGCCAGCCTGGGATCCTGTGCATCCCTGATTTTGCCAGCTCCTGCAATTCCCATGCTATTTATTCTATCAATTAAAAGTCCCAGCTCCCCCAAAGCTCTAATTACAGAAGAATCTGTTCTCACTCTTAATTTCTAATGTTAATGGCCTCCCTCACGAGCTCAGGAACAGAAGCAACAAGGGGGTTTGTTTAATATTGAATATTATCTGCCTTAAAATCCAGTATTTTACAGCAGCTTGAAACTGCACACCAAGGAAAGGCAGCAGCTTTAAAACAGATTTGATTTTTACTTTATAAGTCATCAACTACAAAAAATATTTCAGACTTGCTTGGAAACCAGCACTTTTATGAAGGGACCTTTTCTTTGCATGAGGAAAGGCCACTGAACCTCAGTTCAGACAGTGTAAAACTTCACAGCCCTGTCAACCCTCCAAGAAAAGTAACCACAAATATGTGATGCTAAAATCCAGTCAGATTCATTAAGTGCAAGTTTTGGAATCAGAAGAAGCTTCTTTTGAGGAACTGATATTCCTGGTGAAGGCAGACACCTCTGGAAGTCTAATTTCCAGCCAACATTCAAATCTGCACTCCAATGGTCATTTTTTCCAATAACCAAGTGCACATGAGCTGTAAGGAAAGGATGTGCACAGATTTATCCTGAGGCACAAACCAAGCCCTGCTTTAAACTGCAGCTCTGATAACCATGGGCTGATGTTCCTGGCAATTCCCAGGGAGAATTCTGCACATCCTTCTTTATCCCAGCAGTGGGAGTAGAGCACAAAAGCCCACAGAGGAACAGATCAGCAGCTCCATCTTCCAGCTCCTTGCAGGGAGCAGCTGAAGCACTGGGGGCTGCAAGAACAGCTCACCCTGCCCACACTGGCACTGCTGTCCCACCTGCAGCCAGGTTCCTCTCAGCAGCAGCTTCAGATGTTCAGCTGAAATGCAGAATGTTTCAGTTTGGGGTTATTGTGAAACAGCCAAACTGCAGAGATTTCCATACAAACAGGGATGAAAGCAGCATCCCACAGTTCTGGATTGGCCAGAACTGAGTGTTTGCTTGAGCTGCCAGTGAGCCAATTCCACTGCATTCCAGACCCAAAATTCCATACCCTCACAGACAAAGGCAGCACACACATTTGTATGCTCTCAGGCTCTTCAGTGCAGAATTTATCTGGTGTTGAAGCAAAAATTAATTTTTTTGCCTTCCACAATCCAAGAATAACAATGTCCCCCCTACTCTGCAGTGAGCAAAGCCTGAGGCTGCACTCCTGTTGTGCCACCCTGGTTCCCTTTTCCATAGTACCAGGACAACAAAGACACTTCTGCAGGGCTTGGCAAGAGCTCTCAACTCTCCTCAGAATAAAATACAATTATGGAATGGTCTGGGTTGGAGAGACCTTAAATCCCAGCCAGTGCCACCCCTGCCATGGCAGGGACACCTCCCACTGTCCCAGGGTGTCCAACCTGGCCTTGGGCACTGCCAGGGCACCTGTGTCAGGGCTGCCCACCCTGCCAGGGAACAATTCTTTCCCAATATCCACCCATCCCTGCCCTCTGGCAGTGGGAAACCATTCCCTTTGTCCTGGCCCTTTCCAAAGTCCTCTTCCATCCCTTCTGGACCCTCTTTAGACCCTGGAATGTGTTCCAAGGTCTCTCCACAGCTTTCTTGTCTCCAGGCTGCAAGTGAAAAATTTAAGATGTGAAGCTCTCATAATTTTTTAAGCCCACACAAATAATTTCAGCTTCAAAGGACCTTCCCCCTCACCCTACAAAATCCTTTTCCATTAGAAGGAGCCCTCCCCTGCTCCATCAGCAACACCCTCATCTGGCACAGCACTAAATCCTCCCTCTGCCACGTGACCACCACAAACTTGGAGGCCAAAACTAAAACCTGAGTTCCCAGAAATCTGCAACAATTCCATCCTTGGCTGCTACACCCCTTTTTACTGCTTCCCTTCCAGAGGCTGAGGCCAGCCCACATTCCTGCCGGGGGCTATCTGGGAGCCCACCTCACCTCCAGGAAAGGCACACCCAGAGCTCAACAATCACCCTGGGAGCTCAGCTGGGTCACTGCTCAGCAGCTGCCACCAGCCCCAGCTCTGCCCTCAGCCAGTGGCTTTGAGGCTCTGATAAATCTGCTTTAAGAACTGGAGAAGACAAAGTGGTCAAACAGAGCAAAACCCCCAACAGACACACCCAGCTCATATTTATAAATTATTTGGTACCTCCACTTTCACCTTTCCCCAGTTATTTAACAGCATGTGAAATACTGCTTTCAAAATGTACATTCCTGTTGCTCTTCCCCTATATTCATATTTGTATTTCACATCCCTGTGCTTCACCTGGAGAAAATCCTTGTCAAAACACTCCTGAGCCCCTGAGGCACAGGAAAACCACAATCCTTTCTCCCACTGGTTGGTTGGAGGGATTTGCAGTGCCAGTAACACACCAATATTTATATCTTATTTCTGCTTTTCATCTGATTGTTTATGATTGAAGAAGGTGACTTTTAACAGCAAGTTTACTTTTAACAACTCCAGAAAACCTTCACAAAGCAGCAGCCAAAAAAGACCAGTTTGGGCTCCATCCCAGGCCTCTGGCATAACACTGGTCCTGTGAGCACTGCAGCCAACACTTGGAAATTTGGCTGACATGCTCAGGAAAGTGGCTCCCAAAACACTGTGTTTACAAAATTGCCAAGGCTGAGATTATAGCAGCATTCTTGGGGTTTGTTTGTTTGTTTTAAATCACAGAAACTGATTTAGGGACTTCTGCAACACAGAGCTACACAGGAAAAGGAATTTCTTCAATACTGACTGTTGGGAAGATGGGATGAGCCATTCATTTTTTTTTTTTAATTTGTATTTTTTATTATTTTTATGAAGGCAAAACAAATCCATGGATGGATTTGGCATCAGTTATGCCAGTGGTGGGAACTGCAATTTAGCCTTATCTTTCCCAGTGCACAAATGCCAGTCCTGAATTAAAAGATTACAAACTGCACTTGTAATCTTCCTTCCCTGGCAGCAGGAACCCAAATCCCACGTTCTTTGCTAGTCCCTCAGAGCACACATTCACACAGGGCTTCCTGAAACCTCACATGTCTCAGGCTGCCCCTGAAAACAAGAATCAAACTGTGCCCCAGCAGAGCTGAGGGTAATTCTGACAGGAAGGGACCTCAGGAGGGGATTTTGTCCAAACCTCAGCTTAGAGCAGATCAACTCATCCAGGAGATGACAGGACACAATCTGCTCATCTGCCAGGAGCTGCAAAGAGGACCTGACCTGTTAAGGAGGTCAATGAAGCCTGAGGAAGGCTCAGCAACACATTCACAACAAAAAAAAAAAAAAAAAAAAAAAGAGGAAAGGGAGGGCAGGGAAGATTTATTACAGAACTTTCTTTCTTTTTAAACCAATATTCACTTTCACTCAACAGCAAAACTGGATCAGCTCCAGGAGTCAGCAGTGCCCCTCCCAGGATCACTGTGGTGCCCAGGGGGATGAGGGGAGCTGGAAAAGCAGCAAATGAACACAGGATCCTCTAGAGAGGAGGAAACATCATCAATTCCAGCCATTCACAGCACAAGGAATCTTACAGACTCAGCCTGAACTTCTCAGGTAGCAAGGGGTTGATACCAATTTTTCCTCATCAGGAATTGATGTTTTTAATTGTTCATTTTTTAAGAAAAAGGACAAGAGAACAGATTGCAAATCCTCCCCACTTCAGTCCATGGTTCCTGGCCAAACACTTCTCCATAATTCCCATTTTTGCACCTGGTTTTGAGGACATCACAGAGTTCAGTTTTCCCTGTTGGGATTGCCAGCAGAGCCCAGGGATTGCTCAGGGAGTTTCCCCCTGCTGTGCTACTCACTGCTTGGTGGATGTCAGCCTTCACTGCTTCACTCAGCATCCCCTCAAACACAAAAGAGTCACCAAACTTCTCTGCCTGTGGAAAGAACAGAGGATCCATGCATTATGTCATCAGAGGAATGCTATTCTTGGAACCACACTCAACATTCACAGCTTCGTTTTACCAAGGATAAGAAAATTCAGAGAACCACTAAGGTGGGAAAAAACCTCCAAGACCATCAAGTCTAACCTTTGACCAAACAAATTCTAATAGTGGATTTGAGTTCTCTTTCAAGGAAGCTGTTTTGGAACAGAAAATAAGGGATTTTTTTTCTCTGGATGTTGTTTTTGTTCAGCAGCCACTGGGCAGATGGCAGCTCACTGAGCTTCTGCACGTTTTTACTTTTATTAATTAAAAATGCAGTTCTGAATGTCCCAACTGCTTTCAAATGCTACAGTCATCTATCTAATATGAAAGGGCATGTTTCATTCCTCTTATTTTTCCTTTTGGAATTACAATAAAAGACTTGAGCCTTGTCACTTACTGCTCCATCATCACTAGCACCAGGTTTTAAATTGCTGCTACAACAATAAAGAGTTACAAGTAACTCTATCATTATATCTAGCATGATAACAATCCAAAAGAATAAAAAATACAAATCATTTCCACCAATAACAGTGCATTATACCAAGAGAAAAAAGAGGGAGGAGGTGTAAGTGGAGCACTCAATGACACCAGCTGAGCCATGGAGCCTGCACAGGCCCCAGGTGATGCAGTTCTACCTGCCAGGGCTCCAGGAACATTTGGATAACTCTCTCAGGCACAGAGTGGGATTACTGGGGTTGATGATCCTTGTGGTCCCTTCCAGCTGAGGATATTCTGTGATTCCACATTGAACCCACCACACACGTGCTCATCCCAGCAGCTGTTTGCTACAAGCAAGTTTTGTTCCAACTCAAAATAGTTAAACCACCTTTTTTCATAATTATCTAGCCAAGAAACAGAAATGGTAGACAAAAGAAGCTCTTCATCCAACCAGAGGATCCTGCCTTCCAAATGAGAACCAGTTCATGGAGTGAACTCAGCAAAGTGCCTCCTTTGAGACCTGCTCATTGCTCAGGCTTTCATCTGCCTGAAAGGGCTGGCAGGGCTCTGTCAGAGCTGTGCAGGAGCAGTCAGCTGGCAGGAGGGAGCTGAGCTTCAGGCACAGGTGGCTCCTTTCTGGGAGCAACCTCAACATATTCTTAAGCCCATTGTTCCCAGGAACAGGCACACAATTATCACTGCAGTTGCTCTTGTCTCCTCCTTAGGCACAGGGCTCTCTGTCAGCAGCAAGGAGCTGTGCTGAGCCAGCCTGCAGAGTCCTTGGCCATCTCAGTTTGTTAAATCCCTTCCCCAGATTTCTCTAAGAGAAGGAAAATCTAACCTGGTTGTACTGGTACCAAGAGATCCAGGACCCAAATATCAAAAAACCCCAAGCAAACCACCCCAAAAACCCCTGTAGAGACCTGCTGGCATCACCCAGGCTGCAGGACAGATGTGGGTTCAGGTGGCAATTATTAAACACAACAACAACAACACCTGACTGTCCTTTCAGCCACAGCAAAGCCAGACAATTCCTCCTTCCCACTACCTCCCACAGAAACATTGGAGTGTGCAAATCCCAAAGAGATTTGGGATCCCAAAATGCTTGTCACAAGCATGGTGCCAAGGCAAGGCTGGTTTCCAGCTGGGATTTTCCAGCTGGGAGGAGCCCTGGTGCCTCACCTCGGTGACGTAGCCCGTGGCATTGACAAAGCTCTGGAAGTCCTGGTTGCTGACCTCGTACTGGTCCATGTGGAAGCTGCTCAGGTGCACTCTGCGGGCTGGCCCCTCTCCATCCTGCTGGATCTCGGGCTCCTGGGTGCCCATGGTGAACACCCCTCCTGGGATCAGCACCATCTGCACAGCAAACAGCCCAGGGGGAGGCACAGTGACCCACTGAGGAGCCCCACGCTGCTTTTACTCCTCATCTTTGCAGCTGGTTTGGGAACAGCATTTTGGCCAGCCCATTTGGGGAAACAGCAAACAGAACTGAATTTTCTGCAAAGGAGCAGAAAATGAGTTCCCAGCAGCTCCTCAGCACCTCTCCTGGCTCTTCAGGGCAGGGGAGTGAGAATTTGGCATCCCCTTACTCATCCCGTTTCTGTGTTTCTTCTCCACTGTAGAGCTCTCCCAGCAACACCTAAAATCAACACAACTTGGAACTGGCCCATAACAAATGCTACAAACAGCTTCTCCTTCAGACTACCCAAATCTGAATCTGGCTGTGTCCTCCCAGCTTTCTCCACTGAGAAGAATCTGAGCTCTTACAGACTGTCTGAAACCGACTCCATAAAAGGGCTTCAGGATAAATTTGCTTACATTTTTTAGGACTTAGGAAATGACAACGTGATGTAAAGTTGCAGCACTTCCTCCCTCCCAATCTCTCTTCAACCCTCAGTAGCTGAAAGATCTCCCTGAAGAGGTTTCCAAGCCAGGCTCAGAGCTCACTGGGCTAAAAACATGTGCAAAATTCACTCTTGCTGACTCCCAGTTCTAAAACCACGCTGGAAATAAATAAACCTGTTTGTGGGTGATGCAGAGGCCAATGCTTCTCTCATTTCTCTGCTGGTAAAGATGTTTTCTAACTGAGCATCATCAAGTTATATTGAACTTAAACCAGCAGTAATTAGCTTTCATTACCTACTGCTGGAGCTGCCAGCTGCATAAAGGGGCAGAGGATATTTTCCTCCTCCACACCCACAGTGAACTGCTCAGCTTTGTCACACAAATATCCACCAGCGACACGGATCCCCAGCACAACGGGGATTATTCATTTCATACTTTTTAAATATTCTCCAATTTAGAAGCGAGTTCCCACACTGCCTGCTGCACACAGGTTTTCCCAAACTGACGCAGCTCCCCAGCATCACAAGAGAGGCAGCAGGAGAGGAAATCCCTCATGTTTTCCTGTTCTCCCCGCGAGGCAGAAGCGAGATGGGGCCAGAAGCAGCACCCGCCCCAAGCCCAGCTCCTCAGGGGCGCGGCCCACCCGCCTATCATTTAATTTAAATCTCCCCGCAGCAGTTTCCCGGCTGTCCCGTTATCCCGGAGGAAGCCGTGCTCCACCGGGGCACCTCAGAGGGGTCGGTCGGGGCCCGGCCCCTCAGGGGGGTCGGTCCCGCCGCTCACCGGCCCGCGCCCGGCGCTCCGCCCGCTACCCGCCGCCGCCGAGTAGCGCCGCGCCGCCGCCTCCCGCCCGTCGCCGGCGGCCCGGCCGGCGCTGCAGCCGCAGCTGGGGGTGCCGGGGGTGGCCGCCGTTCCCACCGGCACTGCCAGCAGCAGCAGCAGCAGCGGGAGCGGGCAGCGGCACAGCCCCATGGGCGCCGCCATCTTGGCGGCGGCGGCACGTGCCGCGCGCCGTCACGTGATCGGAGCGTCTTAAAGGGGCCGCGCCGCGTTCTGAGGGGGCGGGAGTGGGGCTGTCCCCGCGTGACCCCACTGTCCCTCCCTGACCCCTCATGACCCCACTGTCCCTTTCTGTCCCTCCCTGACCCCTCATGACCCCACTGTCCCCTTCTGTCCCTCCTGTCCCTCCCTGACCCCTCATGGCCCCACTGTCCCCTTCTGTCCCTTCCTGACCCCTCATGACCCCACTGTACCTTTCTGTCCCTCCCTGTCCCCTCATGACCCCAGTGTCCCCTCATGATTCCCACTGACCTCCCCGACCCCACTGTCCCTCCCTGACCCCTCATGACCCCACTGTCCCCTCGTGACTCCATTGTCTCCCTCTGTCCCTCCTGTCCCTTCGTGTCCCCTCATGACCCCACTGTCCCCCCCGACCCCATTGTCCCTCCCTGTTCCCTTGTGACCCCACTGTCCACCCCATCCCCTCATGACCCCACTGTCCCCTTCTGTCCCTCCCTGACCCCTCATGACCCCACTGTCCTTGTCACTCCATTGTCTCCCTCTGTCCCTCCCTGTCCCCTAGTGACCCCACTGTCCCCTTGTGACTCCATTGTCTCCCTCTGTCCCTTCATGTCCCCCTCTGTCCCTCCCATCCCTCCCTGTCCCCTCATGACCCCACTGTCCCCCCCCCGACCCCATTGTCCCTCCCTGTCCCCTCATGACCCCACTGTCCACCCCATCCCCTCATGTGCCCCCTGTCCCCTCACGACCCCACTGTCCCCTTCTGTCCCTCCCTGACCCCTCGTGACCCCACTGTCCCCTCGTGACTCCATTGTCTCCCTCTGTCCCTCCCATCCCTCCCTGTCCCCTCATGACCCCACTGTCCACCCCATCCCCTCGTGTCCCCCTGTCCCCACCCAGCCCGGTACCTGCAGAGCTTGTGCGCATTGCTGAAGGTTCTGCTGAGGCCTCACGGGTCCAGAGAACAGCGAGAGGGAACTCCTCAATTGACCTCAAATAAATCCCTCACCTGCCCAAGGGGATCTCACCCGGCCATAAACACCCCAAATGGCCACACAGGTGTCACACAAGGGCTTCCCGGCCCTTTCCTGGAAAGCTGCTTTGGGATTCCTGCCCTCCATCAGGGAACTCACAGTTCCTGTGTTCTCCCGCATTTTTCCCACAGTTTGCTGTAGTTTTTGGAGATTCTGTAATATCTTTACTTTCTTGTGGGAACTTCTGTTCTGAACTTTCCACAGAACATCATCCCCTATTGCAAATCAGGTGAAGCCAGTGGGAAGAAATGATGATGTCTGACTCCAGAAGGCTGAATGATTTCTGTATTATAACTATACTATAATACATTAATATGCTATTTAAAGCAGATACTAAAACTACAAACATAATTTTTCTAACTACCACATCTAACTCACAACCCGTGCCCCTCTCTGAGAGCCCAGCCCCAGGTGGGTTGGATTGGCCATCAGCTCAAACAATCCTCACCAGAATCCAACCAAGCAACACCCCAGGGAAACAATTCTCCAAACACATTCCACATGGGAAAACAAGGAGCAGAAATAGAAATTGTTTTCTCTTTCTTTCCTCTGTGCTGCTCTATGAAAAATCCTGAGAGAGAGAAGAATGTGCCTGCCACAATGCCTTGCACTAAAACAGATCTTTACTCATCCTGTGGGATATTAATTCAAAATACTCAATATAATTTTGGCTTACACTGGCAGTAGAGAGAAGCATGAATGAAGGAGAGGGTTTATGGTTTGGTGTGTGTGAACGCTGGAAGGAGCTGCACTCGAATGTTTTTGCTCTGTGAAGTTTTACTGTGTGTAAAATGGCAGTGCTGGGAGGCCTCACAGGGAATTCCAATTGGATTCCAATTGAATTCGAATTCCAATTGTCCATCATTAGGTCCTTTTGCCTTGTGATGTACTCCAGAAAAGCGTCAGAGTGCAGGAAAACAAATTACTGCAAACTTAATTATACAACCAACCCTTGCTGTTTTGGGGTCCGAAAATGGAAATATTTATTTTGCATTGATGCAATGATCTTTGCCCTTTGTTAAGGAATGAATAGCCATGAAAATGAGAGTTAAATCCAAATGATTTTCTGCTGCTAAATATTTCCCAACACAACTCACCGAAGCGAGAGCAAAACGTAGGCATCCAAATTCGACAGGCTTCTAGAACTGAAAACACTCAGCCAGGATAAACTCCCCTTAATAAAGCCCTGGGATTCTGACTGTGTGGTGCTGGAATTCAGGAAAATCAGCTGATTTCCAACGAGCTGGGACAGCTCTCTAGTGTATCCTGCCCACTCGTTCTCATGGCTCGTTTCCCTGGAATTCTGGTGTGCATCATTTGTGTGGTTCCATCAGGAGGGTTCATATTCCTTACTGTCCCTGGAGAACAGATGAAATAATCACAGAAAATCCAACTGCCAGTCTGAGATCCTGAGGACTTGGAGAACTTTTGCTGCTATGGATCATTTTGTGCTCAGCTTTAGTTTTTCTCTCTCCTCACACTAAGTCCCCACGCTTCAAATCTTGTTGTTATTAAAATGTGATGGGAATGAGAGATTTTCCAGCACTTCACTGAGAGGCTGAGGTGTTCCAGCATTTGTCAGAAGTGCTTTTCATCCCTGAGTGCTGCATGGATCTCCCTAAGGATGGGGAACTTCTGGGATCATTTTCCCCATTGTGAAGACCAGCCACAAGCAAGAGGAGACAGACTGATCCTCACAGTCCTGGAATATCTTCTGCTCTCATTTTCCTTCAGGGCTGTTGACCTGCAAAAGAAACAAAAGCAAAACAGCAGAGACAAAACCTGTGCTAAGTCACCCCACAGGCTGGAGGTGCAATGGTCCCAAAACAGCCCAGGGAAGCCAATGGTTAGGTGTAAATTTGTCAGCCTAAAACAAGACAATAGAAATAAAAAGCAAGAAATAGAAATAAAAATAGAAAGAAATCAAAATAGAAATAAAAAGACTTCGAACTTCATTTTAACATCTTTCATCAGTGCTGAATTTCCATAATTGCTAAAAATAAAGTAGGAGCGGAGCAGAATAAGATTTGAAAAGGAGAAAAAGAACAAAGTACTCTGATAGCAAGAAATAAAAATCCCTCACAAGTTGTTTCCTGTGACTGAAACCACATGTGAAATTGGGCCAAACACTCATAGTACAGCTCCCAGGGCTGAAGTGATACCTACCAAGGAGTGCTTTTTCACTATTTCCTCTCTGAATTCTTGAATTCATTCCCCTGACCCTCTGGGGGTGTGTGGGCTCCAAGCCCAGCCCTCATTTGCTGCTGAGTGAACAGGACTCTGTTCCCATCTCAGAGCTGCTTCCTGTAGGACCCATTATCAGGGAAAATTCCTTTAAGGGAATACTCTGGTCCTTCCCAAGGTGACCTTTCCCACTCCCACCCTACCCTGCAATTTTACCTCTTTTCAATGCTGTAAGATTATAGGAACCCCTTGAACTCTCTGTGCCTGCAGCAGCATCCCAGAGCAAGTTCCTAAAGACAAATGGAAATGTTCTTCTGCATTGGAAACTTCCATGATTATCTTGTTTTTGCCAGCACCCCTTCAAATCCAGTGAGTTGTTCACAAGGCTTGGTCACTATTTTTGGCCGAAGGGCCAAAAATTGGAGCATGTAATGACTGGACAAGGGGAAATGGATTCCAGCTGACAGAGAATAGGTTTAGGTTGGATATTAGGAGGAAATTGCTCCCTGTGAGGGTGGGGACACCATGGCACATGATGCCCAGTGACAGCAGCTGTGGCTGCCTCATCCCTGGATGTGTCCAAGACCAGGTTGGATGGGATTTGGAGCAATTCAGACCATTCTGGGATGTTGTGAGCTCCTCAGCCTTTGAAGAACTGACCAAGACCCAGAATCAAACGTAGTCCACAAGCAAAAATGTGCCCTTTGGTATTTGGCATTTGGGAGAGGAATGTCTCTGGAGGGGCAGCCTCCATTCCCTCCCTGAGCAGTGCATTCCCATGTTCTCCCCCAGGGCTGCTGCTCGGGTTTATCCCTCCGTGCTGGAGCTATTTTAAGGCACACTGTGTGCAGAGCTGCTCAAGGTGCTCAGCAGGCAAAGCTCTGCCCCTGGCTCTGGTGACAGCCCTTCTGTCACTGCCTCAGAGCCACTGCAGCCACTCACAGCCTCCTCCTGCTGAAGCCATCCAGAGATTAGATTCGATTACACAAGAATTCATTAGGATTATCTAATGATATTAGGCACCGCTCCTCTGCCAAATTCCTGATGAGTAATGGCTTGTAGTGTTGCAGCCATGTAGGAAACCCATAAAACTGTTCTCTGACCTTCGCTTCAGTTCCTGAGTCACGGGCTTCAGCTGCTGCACATCCTTGCTCCAGAGCCACAGCTACAGCTCCTCTGGAGGTATTTTTAATGGAGAGCCAGTGCAGGGGAAGTTATGTTGACTCCAAACTGGCTAATCTGGGCTCGTTCCCATTCACCAGCGTTATCCTGCTGCTGTAGAGAGGGAGACAAGTGAGGAGCAGGCACCATTCCTACCTGTTACCCACGGCAGCAGGTGGGTGTGGGTGAGAGTGAGCGGAGGAGCTGCTTCCATCACCTAAATCCCAGTTAAAGCGATGCAGTTGTTCTGCAGGCAAACATTGCACTTACCCCTGCATGGCTCTGGCTGCTGCCAGCCAGCCACAGAGGGCAGGAAAATTAGAGTGGAACTGTGGGGAATAACCTTGGCTAATATTTAAGCACAAATAATTACATAATACAATAAATAAATGAAATACCCCTATTTTTTATTCGCTGCTGGTCATTCTGGCTGAAGTTGTGGTGTCTTGTTAGTGACACCCCCATGCTGTAATTTTAGAGAAGAGGAACTCCAGTGACACTCGCTGTTTCCAGAGTTTGGAGCCGTTCCTGCAGAGCAGCCGAGGGCTGACACCTGAGTCCCGGCAGAGGTGACAGCACCTGTGCAGGCAGGTGCTCACCTCAGC